TATATAGGTTGGTGTAGAATGACATTTTCCCTAAACAAAGGGAGGTATTTATTCCGAATTAGTTGGGAGTGTCACCAGTTTAATAAAGTTTTCTTTTTCTCCATGTACTTCTCTATTTCATTGCAATTAATATAATAGACCTCTCTTATTTAAAATAAATAAATATTCAATATTAATAGAAATTAACTGGAAATCGTATAAGATATAGTACGACATGGCTATTATTTGAAGCTATTTAGGTAATCTAGGGAAAAATAATCACCAAATTAATTAACGAGCATTAATTATTTATATTTCATTTTGACATATAAACTTTTATATTCAACAGTCAATTGCAAAAAAGAAAAAGAAAAAAAATAAATATATATATGTATTTATTTGTTTGGTGCAGTTAACAAGGTTCAAATGTGGAGGAGTATGTGTGGGAATGAGGTGGACCCATATCCTTGGAGATGCATTCTCAGCTACAGAGTGCATCAACACGTGGGGGAAGATCATGGCCAATCAGAAACTGCCACCTCACTCTCTCGACAGTCCTCCAATCACCCCCCGCCACGTCGGACCGATGATGACATCCTCGTTTTGCCACTCCCTTAAACCGTTGGATTCCCTCGGAGACAACTGGCTAACTCCAAACAACTTCAAAATGCAAACTCACACTTTTCACATCACACAGAAACAGCTGAACTCTTTGCTGTCCGAAGATCGGAACAAGTGTAATAAGATTACGATAAACCCTTTCGAAGTGATATCTGCGATCGTGTGGAAATCGATGGCCAAAATTAAGGAGACTAAGATAATCACTGTGTGTAAAAAGGGGAAATTTGATAGTAGTATTCTTGAAAATAAGTTTCTTGGTAATACACACCAAGTGATTGGGACTGTCGAAGCTGAGAATACGAGCCTAATTGCGGATTCCGATCCGATTGAGATAGCTAAGATGATTGGTGAAGAGTTTGTGGATGAAACGAGCTTGATCGAGAAACGAATGGAGGAAGGAGATGGGAATGTTGATGTGTTGGTTTACGGTGGGTCGAATCTTACGTTTGTCGACTTGGAAGGAGTGGATTTGTATGGGCTGGAGATGAATGGACAAGGCCCGGTTTTTGCTGACGTAAGCATTGGTGGGGTGGGCGACGAAGGGGCGGTTGTGGTGGTCCCGAATGCGGGGCAACAAGGGCGAATTGTGAATGTGATTCTGCCTGAGAATCAACTCCATCTCTTGAAGGAAGCGCTCAGGTCGGATTGGGGCCTTTTCTAGTGCGTGCGCGCGCGCGCATGTGTGTTTGTATGATTTTTCGTACTGTATTTTGCATGTATTATATATACGCATGTATTTCCCTATTTGAATCACAAGAACTATCTATATATGTAATTTACATTCTGGTTGATCTGTATGAGCACATTTTTACTAGCAATATATAATATTAATTAAGCATGCATGTTTAAACAGTATCATATTTTTTTACAAGGTTGTCAGCAATTCCTTCCCATCTTTCAGGAACAAAAATGAAGGCACGTGTTGAATTAACAAATCCAGTTCCAATTCTACATATTTTTATTTTATTTTATATATTATATATTTATTATTAATTAAAAAAAAGAAACTTCTATAACTAATAAAATCCACTAAAATTTCATATCAAACTGTTAACTTATAATTCTATAAAAAAAGAAATTTTATAACCTACAAAATCGAGAATGAGATAATCCAATGCACAAAATTCAGGCTGAACTCGAAGATGGATCAACGTTTTATTGATAACCATGAAACCTCAGCAAAAAAGAAAAGAAAAAAAACACCCCACGAAACCTCGACGGATATTTTCTTCACAACCAACAGAAACTGAAAGCAGATAAATAAAGAAGCAGGATCTGAATAACTCCCCTAGTTTACGAGATATCTGAGTCTTGCTTGAGAGGCCATGAGAAATTGTATACAATGAGTCCCACCATAAGAACCGCGCTACCCAAGACGAAGAAGGGGCTCAAGTTGGCACCTTCCGAAAGGTACGGTAGTGGAAGGGAAAGTATATAGATCGAAATTGGTACTGAAAAGACAATAATAGATGTTTGTTAGGACACGGGGCTCCACGTTAAAGTACCGTGTGGTAACAAGCAGGTGATTATAACTCGTAAGAAGAGTACCTGATGACATCACAGCTAGGGAGGAAACAACGGCGGATGAATATTTCAAGAGATTGAGTACTGATATGTTGAAAGCTATATTTGTTATTATGTAAAGGAGTGGAAGCGTTGGGGACCCATCACATCCTGACAATAAATACAGAAGAGTGATGATATATAAACGAAAAGGGTATTCAACGTCGCATATAGTCAACAAAATGACAATCACAAAGGCGGAAACAAAAAAAAAAATATTCTCGGTTACCTGTTGTATTTGCTCCAATATTAAAAAAGCACGCGGCCCCACTTTTCAAGTATGAAGGGAATTCGGATAACGGTATACCCTTCAAGTTTGATAAAAACGGCAGGAATAGAAGCACAAAAAGGGCCTAAAAGGAAAAAAGGAAAGACCATCATTGACTACGGGAGGCTGCATTCAAGACTTTCTTAATCAATAAACTTTTTCCGATATTCTTCCCTTGTTAATATATTATATATGCGCATACATATATATCAATTTGGAGGCATATTAAAATCAAAGGAACTTACATCCTTATAAAATGCATACACACACACACACAAATACATATATACATGTAAATATACACGAGCGTGACTAATCAAATGCAATCTTTGTGGGTTAAATGATCATTACCTGAAATCCAGATCCAAAGGAATTGACCACAAATATGTCTATGAGCTTTCCCTACATTAATCAGCCAAAACATTTAGTCATTTTTTTTATATAGTATTCTAGAAATTTCAAGCACATATCATAAATCTCGAGCAAAAAAAAAAAAAGACGAGGGCGTTGCATTTTTGGCACCTTGAGGCGAGTTGCAGCATCAAGGAAAACAGATTCCTGCACATGTCCACATATTTCAGATAATTAGTAATCCTTTAAGCCATCTTACAAGAATTAATCATGGATTAATTTAATTACCTTGAGAACAGAAGCAACTGCTTGAAATGCACTCGAGGCTATCATCATTGCAGGCCACACAAATTCAACACCCGAGAGTAATTGATCATGTTCTGATCCACTGCAATTCAAGAAAAACAAGTATTATATTACCCAAACATGATGTCGAGTATGAGAAACTACAGTACACGAAATACAAGCTCGTTTTAAAAAAAAAATTAATAATTATTAATGCTTATACGTAGAGGAGTTGACCTTGTAACTGCCAATACGACTCCAGCAGCAACAAGAAATGATCCAGCAAATCGGTTCAAAGAGTAAGTCCTTCCCAGTATCAACATAGAGAAAGCTAGTTGCCATAGCAAAAATGTCTGCATTTAATACGACCCGGAGATAAATTATTAGGTCTGGCTTTGTATAAATCAAGAATATCGGATAATATACGACACTTGCAGAAATAATAAAGATAAATCAAATTAAATATGTTTTTTTAGGGCAATCAAACCCCATCCTTCAATTCAAATAATCTGGAAATTCTTCCACACGACATAAAAGAGGCTTTTTTCCAGTCGAAAAACGTAAAAAGAAAAATAGATATCTTTAAATCCGGTAATTAAGTTAATGCATCTTAGAAAGCTTCTTAAATAATAAACTTATGTTCAGATTGGATTTAGTCCGGTATATCTCGCAACGAAATTTCAGGCAAATCAAAATGGCTTTACCTGATTTAGTATAGGTATAGCAGGTCCGGGAAGCATGGCTGTAAAACACACACAACACTGAGTAAAATATCTTAGTATTTAAAACCGCAACATAGTTGTATAATTCATGAGAGATTAGCAGTTCGTAACTTAATTGTATTAGCTTAATTAGGATTTGCAGTTATGTTAAGGGGGTGCTAAACCTTGAATAAAGAAAAAACACAGTAGCTTATCGTACCTCCAGAATACATCCCGGAAACAACTCCAAGAGCTTCTAGCAAACCAATGATTATAAAGGGTATTTTCGGAAACGACAGCATTTCATCGGTAGCAACACCAGCTCTGTATCTCATAAAAAGGATAGAGAAGTATATAGCAACATACCTGTTGATCATAAACAACCATCAATCTCAATGTACTCTGATTTTTTTTTTTAATTATTAATAAGTAATAACTGTAATTGAAAGAAATTAAGTTACGGTGGAGACTATCATAGCAGAACATAACCCAATAATTCATCTTCTAAATTCATACTGAAAAATACCCTAGAAAACTAACTTCTAAATCATTCCTAATTTTGCTCAATTAATTTACAAAATTGAAAATTAAAAAGTGAAAATACCCGAAAGTGGTGAGCTGAGCGAGAAAGAAGGGGAATTCCTTCATCGGAACAAGGGCGAGTTTGTAAAGCACGCGATTTGCAATGGCTAGTGATACAGTAACTGCAGAGCACACGACGATGGACAACTTCCTTTTATTGGCATCGGACTTGGACGGCCGCTGCTGCTTCTGCGGCGGCGGCGGCCGCGGCGGTGGATAAGTCTGGTCAGTGGCGGCGATCGGAGGAAAATGCCGTAGCTGAAGTCTATAGGGAGTGTTGTAATAGTAAATCTTATTGAAGTGGTTAGCTGAAGAAGGGTTGGAGAAAATGGAGAGTTTTAGAGGAGGGGTTTTAATATTAAAATTGGGATGAAATTGAAAGAGAAGAGTAGAGGTAGAAGGTTTGGTGGCGGAGTTGACGATCAAATGGCCGGAAGAAGCTGCCGTTGCAGCTGATCCGAGGCGGTGGTCCATGGAAGAAGACGAAGAAAGAAGAAAGAAGAATGGGGAAATGGCGGCATTAATACAAGTACCAAGTGTACAACTACCAAGAATGTATTATTCTGCCACGTGGGAAATGTGCAACTATTGGGCACGAAAATATCAAGCTTCACACAAAAAATAAGGGTACCTTCGTAAATACTTTTGGTTCTTATTTTTGTTTTGTTTTGGGTGTTAAACGTGCTTTGCTAAAATGATTTGAGAAAACAAATTAATTATTCCGAGTCAAATAATTCATTTTGTTTTTTAATGGAGATTTTTTGAAGTCAAATAAAATTATAATAAAATTCATTGTCTTATGATAATGTGGTTATAGATTGTTCTAATTTTATTCATTTACTTTATGATGTGCTATTGAGCTCACAAATCAGCTTGAAACACTTTTGTGATACGCCGCCAGATAGTTTTGCCCGCGGTCGTCTTGATTCGGGAGAGGTTCCGACTTTGGACTGAAAACAAGGAGGGTAAAGAATTATATATGTAATAGATTTCAATTTGACATGTAATATAATAATAGTAATTGGCTTACGGAATAGCAGACTCGGGCTTCCGAGGTAAGGGTGTATTGTACAGGATGAGCCCCACAACGAGAATCGCAGATCCCAGATGGAAAAATGGGCTCAAGCTTACACCTTTTGGTAGATATGGCAATGGAAGTGAAAGAACATAAATTGAAATTGGCACTGCAAAATAGAAAAAAAATGGCTGTTATCAATCAGACAATCACTGTGCAGCATCAAAGACACCTTTCCTAACACAACAATAGACGAGCAAAAGAAATTTTAGCAATCTAAATGTCACTACCTGAAACCCGGATCCAAAAGAGGTGACGACGAAGATGTCCAATGATTTCCCCTGTGGAACTTAGATGATTAATTAAAGTATGAACTTATATGCTCTTAAAACTTGCTTTAGGACAATGTCATGGGTAAGAAAAGTTACAGAGTAGAGAAAACAGAAAGAACAAGACAAGTACAAATACTAATATGGATGTACCTTAAGACGGGTTGCAGCATCAACGAATACAGACTCCTACACATGTCCACAACTTTCGATTAATGTCATTGCTAATTTATGATAGATTAACAATATTGGCAATGAGTCGTTGCATCACCTTAACTATAGATGCACCCGCTTGGAAAGCACTTGAAGCTATCATGAGCATTGGCCACAAAACTCCAACTCCAGAGAACATTCCACCACTGTTTGCTCCACTATCAGCCAGAATTCGGACATCGTTGAGCAGATGTGTTACACACACACACACACACACACACACACACACACACACACACACACACACACACACACACACATATATATATATATATATGGTAGAAAAGATATAATAATTGAGCATTGATATTCATTCGACCTGGATAACCAAACTCAACCTTTCAAGGAATTATCAATATGCATTTACCCAAATCAAAAACCATACTTACGCATAACACGCATAAAAAAGTGCAATACACTCGTAAATATACAAAACTAAAAAACTCCTTATTGTAACTGTGGTAAAGGAGAAATATCATTACCTCGTAACTGCCACCACGACACCTGCTGCCACGAGAAAGCATCCTAGAATTTGGTTGAGAGAGTACCTTCTCTTCAATAAGATGCTGGAAAAGACCAGCTGCCAAACCAGGAATGTCTGCACGGAGATGTCCAAGATAAGCACCGATGAGGATCAATAAGTAGTAATTACCTTCTTATAAGTATCAAACAACTAAAAAATTAAGTATACGATTGCAGTGTTTGGTCGTTTATGAAGCACAAACACTGAAAACAGCTGTACCTGGTATAATAAGGGTATAGCTGGTCCTGGGAGTACCGCTGCAAAACAAACACGCCTTCATCAGTCAACACAAAGGGATGTTATAGAAAAAGTGAAAGCTGATCTATCTTACATTATTTTATTTTATTTCCAGAAACTGGCCCTTGATTCGGTCATTTGTCTCAAATTCAGTGATATAATGAATGTCATATAACGATACAAACATATGAAAAAACTTAAAAGTGTATAAGCTAATAAGTTTGAGAACCACAAACTTAGTGAAAAAATGAATAATGTTTATGTTGGTACCTCCAGCATACATCGCAGAAACAATTGAAACGGATTCAAGAAAACCAATCGCGATAAACGGTGATTTGGGAAGGTCTAACATCTCGTCGGTCGTTTTGCCAGCACGGTATCTCACACGCAGCACAGAAAAGAAAACCGCCACATACCTGTCTATCATGAAACCAAATTTGTTCATCATTATAGAACTAATATGAAGCTAGTAAAATAAAATAAAAATAATAATAATAACTGCAGAACATACACAAAACTGTTGAGTTGAGCCAGAAAGAAGGGGTGGTTCTTCATGGGGATAAGAGCAAGTTTCTGAAGCACACGGTTCGAAACCGCTAGTGCCAGAGTTATGGCGGACCAAGCAACCACTGCAAGCTTTTTATCAGCATTTGAATTTGACGACGGAGGGCCATCTGTCGAAGAAATTTCAGCTAAAGCTGATCGAACAGTGGGCTGAAACCTAGTAATAATCGTCCTTCTGCCGTAGAAACCATGATTAGAGATGGAGAGCTTCACATTATCAACAGATGACCTTAATCGACGCAATCGCAGCCGTACAGGAGGCGGAATTGATGGAACTCCAGAATCGCCGCCGCGGCCACTGTTAACTGCGGCGGAAGAAAAGCACCGCGCGGAGGATTTGGGGCCAGCTGCGGCGGCGAGTAATTTCATCGGTGTAAAAGACGAATTCGCCAGAATTCAACATCAGAAGAAGACTAAAAACCAACAGAGAACCAACACAAACCATGCCGGTGGGATTAAGGAAGCACGTGATTAATGTCAACTGCAACTAGCAAAAATTAATCCTAATTATATTATTTAATAATAATAATAATAATAATAATACAAACTGTATATTATATACAAGAGATTTCAATTAAAAAAAAAAAGTTTACCAACATTATTTCTTGCGTAGAGATTCTCGCTCATAGAAACTCACAGCTCGTCCGTTTCAACTCGGAAATTTTGCAGAAATTGATTGATTCTAGGGTTTAAGAACGACATCGATGAACGCGACGAACGGCATTCCGATTGGGTATACAAATTAGCAGTATGAATATTCAGAGTTTTTTACGGATAATGCGTTTCTTCTCTCCATCATCTTCACCGCTACTCGGTGCGCCGCACACAGTAAATGGCAGGCCTAGAAAATTATCTCCATTGTAGTGGATTTAATTAATAATGTAATAGGTGATTAACTTAATTTTGTCATTTATCGTATATTTATATATTATTTTATATTGGGTAATATTATAGAACTGTGTAATAATAGAGGTTTAAAGTGACTTAAATATTACTCCATTTGTTCCATAATATCTATCTCTTTTGAAAATTTATTTTGTTTCCATATTATCTGTCACTTTACAAGTCCAATGCTGCATTAATTGCTTATTTTTCAATTTTACCCTTATTAACTCTGTAGCACTCTTCATGCATTAATTAATAACCAAGGGTATTTTGGTCCATTAATATATACTTTCCTAAAATCAAGACATATTTATTGAGATTCTTAAGATTTGTGCGAGGGTGAAAAACGACAATTATTTAGGAACGGAGAGAGTATTATTTAGACCTCACTCCGTTGCTAAGATAAATTAATTAGTTTGATGAAAATTCAATTATGTTGTTTAACAATGGGTCTAATTAATATGGAAAATACAGTTTTCAACCCTCAAGTTTACACCATTTCACATTTAGTCCCTATATTCACAAAAAACACAATTGATCCCTTATGTTAGTCCGTTCCGTCAATTTTATCGTTAAAACTAACAGAACCAAGCGTGTGACCATCAGAGCCTTAACTAACGGACTAAATGTAAATTCACGAAATGACAAAAAATATTGAATTATTGGAACATGAGGGACAAAATGTGAATCGGTGCAAATTTGAGGGATTAAAACTGTAATTTCCCCTTATTTAATATATCAGCTAGTATATGATTTATTGCTAATTAAGATTAGGTACTTTCTACATCAACAGTAAATTTAAATAATTAATTAAATAACAAATAGATTATCTGATTAACTATATGATATTTTTTTTTTTTTTGTATGGATTAGTATTGGTCGAACCGGGCCGGGCTCAAAATTAATCAATAATCAAATTCCTTCGAAACGGATATAATCATACATGATTCCTTGTAACGGGCCTGTGGCATCTGCTTGCGTCAAATAAATTGTGTTATTCCCTGTAACAAGTGAAGAGCCCAATATTTCCACACTGAACAGCCAGTACAGCCCGTGAATCCCGTGTCGGCCGATTGCATTATCTTTCCCGATTAATCCAGTCGAGAATATTGCTGGAATATTCCGATCCGGATTATTGACTCGGACCTGAAAAAATTACGTGCCAATGTTATTCGAAATCCATTATACTAACAATCGATTAATTAATTAATTAATGGATTTTTTTTTTACCTGAAGTTCAGCTTGTGCTGCAGATGCAAGTGCTAATCTTAATTTGTACGATCCGCTTGGCTCGACTGCGTCTAGCTTGAACTTAATTTGCCACGTGGTTGCTTTGTATGTATTTTTAACCGTTTTTCTGAAAATGTTTCAAGATTTGTATCAGAGCTGGCAAAAAAATAATTCGAATTTTATTTTTTAAATTATCCATTTTAATTTGCCACATGGTTGCTTAGAATTTCAAT